GCAAAGACACACACTCTGTAATAAGCCATTGATTGGACTGTTTAGGCCGGCACAGAGTGCTCTGATTATAAAAAATAAAACGTAACAGGAGGGTATAGGGAGATGAGACAAGCCTGCAAAAGGAGAATCAGAATGTCTGTCACCAGCATGCAACAATGGAAGATGTAAGTATGCACAGAATTGATATTAGGTGGCCAACACCGATTGTGCCGGGAATGAAACTAGTCCCCAGCACAGAAGTGCATATATCTCTGGATGTGCAGTGTTATTCAGAAACACCACACATCCAGATTCCTTCCTCTATGACCACTTCAATAAAGCAGGAGGCAGTCATGGAATATGCCGTTAAGGAAGTCACAGATAGGCTGAGAGCATCAGCTGACTGATTAACTACAGAAGGTAAGCCAACGCCTGGGATCTCCATAACAACTACATTCCAATGAGGGTTCCTTTAAGCAGAAATTAATTAGCATTGACAACATGGTTTATTCATTAACTAGACACTATATTCGAGTTGGAGAATTCCTCAAAGTAAAAAACTTTGGTCAAACTTTTTAGTGGGGTTTTCAATTCACATAAAAGTCAAGTCTTAAGACAGAAGAGAATAAACAGACATGTAGATTCCAAACCACAGCTCCTGTCTGCAGCGACAAGAGACAGACATGCACACATCATCTCATAGTCACTGATCTGGGGGTTTCTTATTATCAGTCTGAAGACGGATCATTTACTGGGCCTCCTGACAGAATATAAGGATTTGTTTAGAAACAATAAAGATCATTAAAAGAGTTTAGAAAAAGGAGTGTAGGCCTATCATTGTTACACAATTACCAGCTTTCAATGCAATTCTCACAGGTCTACGCACAGATAGCCCCCTCCTGAATAGCATGGCCTTGCTCTCTTCCAGTATCTCCATTTATCACCTGTGTGTTTTTTGTCTTTATTTGCAAAGCTTTCTACACATGTAACCTATTAGATGTATTTGGGCATTGTCTTCTGTCTCCAATATCTCACAGCTAAGACGACAAATGTGGAATTAGAACCTGCATTTCTTCCTCTATACCCAGCTCCTTTTATCTTTATATTTCACGACAGTCCAACGACGTAGGAACGAAAACACGGACACTGCTCTAGGCTGCGCTCACTCCTCCTCATATCCATACTGACCATATTAGCTGACCCACGTAATGCAAGGAACCTGTTGGTCGTCTAGAATCCAGCAAGGATCACACATGTGGGCCACCAGATGGTCAGCTACATCAAACAAATAACATGGAAGAAGCTCAAAACATACTTTGTTCCAAAAAGTATCCAAATGTGATAATGTTCCAGCCCCAGTTATTTTATTTTCAAAGTGGAACACAATTCAGAGTATTACGCAATAAAGGGCTGGATTATCTCTGCAGAATAAGGGTTAACTCTACTAAGTGAATACCAATTCCTCTAATTAGGGCTATGGTAAAATTGCTTTGCATGAAACAATGTAAACCATTTACTACTATGAGAATCCAGCCCAAATTACCCAGGCTTAGCTACATTACAAGACCTTTCTCTGCAACACCAGGACCAAATATCAAGCTTCATCCAGGTCTTCAGCTCCCCATGTCTGCATTATAAACTTCTTTTCTGCCCCCAATGGGCACGCCAGAGAAAATAAGCGCTCCCTGGAGAACGCTATATCAGGTTTTACCCAATCACTGAGATCTGACTATGTGAATAGCCAAAGCAAGACACCTAATGCTTTTCTTACTTCACTCGTCCTTACTGAAAGGCGTGAGCAGGACAAAGATACTACCAGTGTCAAAACATTGCCAGCTTTAGCCGTTTAAAACTTCAGAATTATCTTTTTTTTTTTTTTTTTTTAAACAATATTTAAAAAAAAAAAAAAGGAAAGAGATGACCTAATGCACCCAAAATCAAGACAAAAAAAAAAATGAGAGCTTAACATATTAGTCTTGAAGAAACTGGGATCAGCAAAAAAGAAAACCATAAGCCATATACCAAACAGACAGTACTAGATGGTCAACAGGTCTCACACACTTTATCCTTAAGATCCAGAGACAATTAATACATTGAGTTTTTGGTTTGTTTTTAAACATGAACTAAAAAAACCAAAATGTTTTTTTAAAAATAATTCTTCTGTGAAACGATGACATTTGAACTGGGTTTATCAATGTATATATGGTTTAAATAACACATGGTATTAAGTCCCTTGCCCTGGGTGTGCTTTGATGGCCATTTATAGTTGCATCAACTATTATCAAGACCTTTTATAAAACTTCTACAAAAAAAAAAAAAATCAAAACCCACAGATCTAGTCCTGTTTTTCAAGTCAGGCATGTCTCTCAGCGTCCGCAACAAGTTGCTCCACTTTGTCTCCGACGTGATCCTTCAGTATCATTTTGAGTAACATATCAGGCATACTCAGGTGTTTAGTCAGATTATGACAGATCAAATCTGAAGGTAAAACAAGTGCAAAGGGAAAATGTGCAATACTAAGCACATGGCAAGTCAGACTTCTCCAGTAAACACATATGTCTGTGACAATATTAGCTGGCTTTGACATAGTTACATAGGCTGAAAAGAGATGTACATCTATCAATTTCAACCTTCCTCACATCTGTTTTCTGCTGTTAATCCAAAAGAATAAAAAATAGTTTGAAGCACTTCCAATTTTGCAACAAACTAAGAAACAATTCCTTCTCGACCCCAGAATGGCAGTCAGATTTATCCTTTGATCAAGAAGCCATTACCCTATAATTGAAAAATTATATCCCTGAATATTGTGTTTTTGCAAGTATGCATCTAGTTACCGTTTAAACATCTGTATGGACTCTGATAAAATCCCTTCTTCAGGCAGAGAATTCCACATCCTTATTTTTTTTACAGCAAAAAACAAAAAACAAAAAAAACACACAAAAAAACACAACTTTCCTTTGCCTTAGACTAAATGTCCTTTCTTCCAGTCTAAATGCATGATCTTGTGTCCTAATAATGTTATTGCCCTAAATTACTAATGTAAAGGGGGGAAACAATGTCACTTAGTCACTGCTACCTACACTCCTAAAGCTGGCCATCAATGTGAACACTAAGGCTACAAATGATCAAGAGGTAAAAGCCAATCCACAGCTGTGCTCAGTCAGGATCACAGGACACTACACTTTCAATACAGACAACCCCAATGAAAATGTTTATGTCTGAACTTTATTTGTGGGATAACTGGCAGCATGATAATACATAAAATACAGATCTGGCCACAAATGTAATTTTTTTTAATTTATTTATTTTTAAATAAACTGATCTGGCCACCCCTTCTCTCACAGCCTACGGCACCACGAAGCAAGCACGGTACTACTTTCTCCTTTAGAACCCTTTAGGATCTATGATCGGTTGTGACCTGCATTGCGCAATAGCATACAACGGGCAGCTGGCCCTGGCAACAAAATAAAGGGTGGCCACTGACAGCAAGGTGAGGAGAGCAAGCCAGCTGCTGGAAACAGTGTGTGGGGGAGGAAGGTGTAGAGGGGGAGGAAGGTGAGGGGGCAGCACTGCGGGGAGGGAGGAGAGGAAGGTGAGGGGAAGGTGGGGGAGGAAGGTGAGGGGGAGGAAGGTGAGGGGGGAAGGTGAGGGGGAGGGAGAAGGTGAGGGAGGGAGTGAGGGGAAGGTGAGGGGGGAAGGTGAGGGGAAGGTGAGGGGAAGGTGAGGGAGGAAGGTGAGGGGGAGGAAGGTGAGGGGAGGAAGGTGAGGGGGCAGCAATGTGTAGGGGAGATTAAGGTGGGGGGTATAAAGGTGATATTTACCCCTCTTGTCCATCAGCCCCATGAAGAGGAAGCAGGGCAGGAAGGGGTATTGTGTATTAAGGGGCAGGGTATTAAGGAGGGGAGGGGGGTATTAAGGAGATATTTACCCCTCTTGTCCATCAGCCCCATGAAGAGGAAGCAGGGCAGGAAGGGGTATTGTGTATTAAGGGGCAGGGTATTAATGTGGGGGGACAGGGTATTAAGGTGGGGGGCAGGGTATTAAGGGGGGGAGGGGGGTATTAAGGAGATATTTACCCCTCTTGTCCATCAGCCCCATGAAGAGGAAGCAGGGCAGGAAGGGCTATTGTGTATTAAGGGGCAGGGTATTAAGGAGATATTTACCCCTCTTGTCCATCAGCCCCATGAAGAGGAAGCAGGGCAGGAAGGGGTATTGTGTATTAAGGGGCAGGGTATTAAGGAGGGGAGGGGGGTATTAAGGAGATATTTACCCCTCTTGTCCATCAGCCCCATGAAGAGGAAGCAGGGCAGGAAGGGCTATTGTGTATTAAGGGGCAGGGTATTAAGGAGGGGGGCAGGGTATTAAGGTGGGGGTATTAAGGTGGGGGGTATTCAGGTGATATTTACCCCTCTTGTCCATCAGCCCCATGAAGAGGAAGCAGGGCAGGAAGCCGATGGGGCCCCACAGGACCAGCAGGGCGATGTCCAGGCTGGAGAAGCCATAGGCGGCCCGGGCCGAGTTCTGGATGGGCCCCCACGTGTTAAACAGCAGCCCCTGCAGGAAGGCGAGCAGCGAGAACAGCGACAGCACCAGCCAGCGCCGCCCGAACACCCGGGGCCCGCGGGGGCCGGGGGGGGACAGCAGGGCCTGCCGCTCCTCCTCCTCCTCCCCGGGGCCGCTCCACTGCAAGCCCATCCGGGACCGGAACCAGAACCGGGACCGACACCGGAACCAGAACCGAGACCGGGAACCAGAACCGGGAACCAGAACCGGGACCGAGACCAGAACCGACACCGGGACCGGGACCAGAACCGACACCGGGACCGACACAGGGACCAGAACCAGAACCGGGGGGTGGGGGAGATACGGACCGGGAACAGAACCGAGACCGGCTGCTCCCTGTGTGAGTGTCCCCCGGGGGCCCCGCTCCGGCCGGTCTCTCACAGGAGAAGTTCGGGTTTTTCCGGTCACGAGCTCAAAACATCCGGCGGTGAAACCCCGCCCACGTGACGTCACATCGGGAGCCCCGCCCATACCATGTGCTCACTGTGACCCCAACTCACACTCACTGTGACTCTCACACTCACTGTGACTCTAACTCACACTCACTGTGACTCTCACACTCACTGTGACTCTAACTCACACTCACTGTGACCCCAACTCACACTCACTGTGACTCTAACTCACACTCACTGTGACCCCAACTCACACTCACTGTGACTCTAACTCACACTCACTGTGACCCCAACTCACACTCACTGTGACTCTCACACTCACTGTGACTCTAACTCACACTCACTGTGACTCTAACTCACACTCACTGTGACCCCAACTCACACTCACTGTGACTCTAACTCACACTCACTGTGACCCCAACTCACACTCACTGTGACTCTAACTCACACTCACTGTGACCCCAACTCACACTCACTGTGACTCTAACTCACACTGTGACTCTAACTCACACTCACCGTGACTCTCACACCTCACTGCACTCCCAACTCACACTCACTGCACTCCCAACTCACACCTCACTGCATTCCCCAACTCACACTCACTGTGACCCCCAACTCACACTCACTGTGACTCTCACACTCACTGTGACTCTAACTCACACTCACTGTGACCCCAACTCACACTCACTGTGACTCTAACTCACACTCACTGTGACCCCAACTCACACTCACTGTGACTCTAACTCACACTCACTGTGACCCCAACTCACACTCACTGTGACTCTAACTCACACTCACTGTGACCCCAACTCACACTCACTGTGACCCCAACTCACACTCACTGTGACTCTAACTCACACTCACTGTGACCCCAACTCACACTCACTGTGACCCCAACTCACACTCACTGTGACTCTAACTCACACTCACTGTGACCCCAACTCACACTCACTGTGACACTAACTCACACTCACTGTGACTCTAACTCACACTCACTGTGACTCTAACTCACACTCACTGTGACTCTCACACTCACTGTGACTCTAACTCACACTCACTGTGACCCCAACTCACACTCACTGTGACTCTAACTCACACTCACTGTGACCCCAACTCACACTCACTGTGACTCTAACTCACACTCACTGTGACCCCAACTCACACTCACTGTGACCCCAACTCACACTCACTGTGACTCTAACTCACACTCACTGTGACCCCAACTCACACTCACTGTGACACTAACTCACACTCACTGTGACTCTAACTCACACTCACTGTGACTCTAACTCACACTCACTGTGACTCTCACACTCACTGTGACTCTAACTCACACTCACTGTGACCCCAACTCACACTCACTGTGACTCTAACTCACACTCACTGTGACCCCAACTCACACTCACTGTGACTCTAACTCACACTCACTGTGACCCCAACTCACACTCACTGTGACTCCCAACTCACTGTGACTCACTGTGACCCCAACTCACACTCACTGTGACACTCAACTCACACTCACACTCACTGTGACCCTAACTCACACTCACTGTGACTCTAACACTCACTGTGACTCTAACTCACACTCACTGTGACCCCAACTCACACTCACTCACACTCACTGTGACTCTCACACTCACTGTGACTCTAACTCACACTCACTGTGACCCCAACTCACACTCACTGTGACTCTAACTCACACTCACTGTGACCCCAACTCACACTCACTGTGACTCTAACTCACACTCACTGTGACCCCAACTCACACTCACTGTGACTCTAACTCACACTCACTGTGACTCTAACTCACACTCACTGTGACTCTCACACTCACTGTGACTCTAACTCACACTCACTGTGACTCTCACACTCACTGTGACCCCAACTCACACTCACTGTGACCCCAACTCACACTCACTGTGACCCCAACTCACACTCACTGTGACACTAACTCACACTCACTGTGACACTATTGGGGTGTTTGATATACTGCATGATACACCCCAGTATTTCATAACTCATTCAAACATCCTAATATTGTGGGTGGTTTGTGGAATATTGGGGTAAGATTATGGAATATTGGGGTGTTTCATGGAATTCGGTTTGGTTATGTAATATTGGGATGGGTTATGTAATAACAGGGTGCTGTGTGGAATATTGTAGTGTTTCATGTAATATTGGGATGGGCTTCATAATATTGGGGTGTTTCATGTAATATTGGGATGGGCTTCATAATATTGGGGTGTTTCATGTAATATTGGGATGGGCTTCATAATATTGGGGTGTTTCATGTAATATTGGGATGGGCTTCATAATATTGGGGTGTTTCATGTAATATTGAGGTTGGATTATGGAATATTGGGATGGGTTATGTAATATTGGAGTGTTTCTCCCATTACCCCTATAATCCCCATTATTCTCTATAATCCACCCATTACCCTCTAGAATCTCACATTATTCCCAATAATCCCCCCATTATTCTCTATAGCCTCCCCCATTATTCTCTATAGCCCCCCATTATTCCCTGTAGTTGTGTATTGTGAGGGGCGGGGCTATGTCAGACCCCACCCGATGCGGTGACGCACAATCTACGCGACGCAGAGCTGAGTAAAGGCTGCAGCATGGAGCCAGAATCACAGGGCGCAGGTACAGGGCAGGAGGCTGCAGGGGGGGGGAGCAGGTACAGGGCAGGAGGCTGCAGGGGGGCGCAGGTACAGGGCAGGAGGCTGCAGGGG